AGATGATGTGCAGTCACTGCTCTCAGTTGCAGAAGAAGCCGCTTCTGAAAAATAAATATATAAATAAATAAAGCTCACATTAAATCTGTTTATCTCTCAGTAATGCCTGCCAAAGGTTTGCTTTTGAGGATGAAAATTAGTTTAGACTGAAAATGAATCAACTCCCCAACTGAGCATATTTTAGAGCACATAAAAAAAAAAACGCCAGTATTCCCCTCAAAAGAGAAAAAAGAGCCCCAACCAATTACCCTGTATGCCTGTGAATCATTCCTGGCTGGAGCAACTCTGGAGTTACGCACATTTGGGTCGATGAGTCCCCAGGTGCATTAGGAGAAGTGAAGTTAGAGATTTCCTGTCTGACTTGGATGAGGGTGGTAATTGTGCTTGGAATGGATGGATTGGAATGACTAATAGCAGGATCTGTTCTCTATTGCCTTTAAGCTGTAGTGTTGCACATTAGCAAGAGTGTAGCAGCATTGTGAGGACGGTCTCTCCTCCCTGTTTTAAAAAAGGTGATTCTGTGGCCTGAATAAATCCATACTAAAGTCCATAAATGTAGTCTAAATTTCTGTGTTTTAAAGGTAGATAGTTATTCAATGGATATATGCTAGCATGTCCTTTAACATCATTTCCATGACAATCAAGTAACTTATTATCATCACACGGAGGCACAAAACCCTCTATTCATTCTTATTGTTACATAAAACACTGTGTTGTTATGTGGGTATCTAAATGGTGTTTTGCAATCAATGAACAATTTGCTCTTATTTTTTCCACTTTATCTCCTTATATCTTTTAGTGATTATTATTAGTAGCCATATCAGCTCAGTTTCTCAATTTTTTCAGTTTTTCACAGACATGTTGGTGATTGTTAACTAATTTGTTTATATATATATATATATATAGTTAGCATAATTAACAATTAATATAAAAATATATACATTTTTGGTAAATGTTAAAGTCAATCAATAAATATATAATATTTTAATATATTTTAATATAGAAATGCATTTCTCTGTTAATTATGTTACATTTTTGTAGCATTTCAACAAAAATTACATGTTAGTTATATATATAAAGTCTTATATTACAAATAAAAATACTGATTAGCTCTCAAGTTGTTTTAGTATTATATATCTGTGTGTGTGTGTCAATAAATAAATATATAGTATAGTATATA